AGGAAAGAAACATTTAATGAAACAGAGAGAGAAGTCATATGGCATTAACTTGTGTCCAGCACTCTGGCATTTAATTTCAAAAAGGGGAATTACACAAAAATGAGGAGGTTAGTTAAACAGAAATTAAAAGGCACAATGACTAGAGCCAAATCCCCGCAAGCTGCTTGGAAACTTTTTAAAGACACCATAATAGAGGCCCAACTTAAAAAACATAGCAAGAGACCTGAAAAAGAGTCACCGTGCCTTAACCACCATGTAAAAGAAGCAGTGAGGGACAAAAAGGCATTTTCTAAGAAGTGGAAGTCCAATCCTCGTGAGATAAATAGAAAGGAATATAAACACTGTCAAATCAAGTGTAAAAATGTAATAAGAAAAGCAAAAAAAGATTTTGAGGAACAGCTGGCCAAAAACTCAAAAAGAAATAACAAAATGTTTTTTAAGTACATTAGAAGCAGGAAGCCTGCTAAATAACCTGTGGGTCCCCTAGATGATCAAGATATAAAAGGAGCAATGAAGGACGATAAAGCCATTGCAGAGAAACTAAATGATTTCTTTACTTCAGTCTTCATGGCTGAGGACGTTAGGGAAATTCCCAAATCTGCACCGTCCTTTGTGGGTGATGAATCTGAGGAACTGTCCCGGATTGAAGTGTCATTAGAGGAGGTTTTGGAACAAATAGAAAAACTTAATGTTAACAAATCTCCGGGACTGGATGGCATTCATCAAAGGGTTCTAAAAGAACTCAAATGGGAAATTGCTGAACTATTATCTGTGGTTTGTAACCTATCCTTTAAATCGGCTTCCGTACCTAATGACTGGAAGGTAGCCAACGTGACACCAATATTTAAAAAGGGCTCTAGAGGCGATCCTGGCAATTACAGACCAGTAAGTCTAACTTCAGTTCCGGGCAAATAAGTCGAAACAATAGTAAAGAATAAAATTGTGAAGCATGTAGAAGAACATAATTTGTTGGACAAAGGTCAGCATGGTTTCTGTAAAGGGAAATCATGTCTATTAGAGTTCTTTGAAGGAGTTAACAAACATGCGGATAAGGGGGATCCAGTAGATATAGTATACTTAGTCAGTCCTGGGACCAATCCTTTTCAACTTATTCATAAATGATCTGGAGAAAGGGGTAAGCAGTGAGGTAGTAAAGTTTGCAGATGATACCAAACTGTTTAGGATAGTCAAGACAGAAGCAGACTGTGAGGGACTCCAAGAAGATCTCACCAAACTGAGTGATTGGGCAACAAAATGGCAAATGAAATTTAATGTGGATAAGTGTAAAGTAATGCACCTCGGGAAAAATAACCCCAACTATACGTACAGTATGATGGGGGCTAATTTGGCTATGACAAATCAGGAAAGAGATCTGGAGTTATCGTGGATAGTTCTCTGAAAACTTCCACGCCGTGTGCAGCAGCGGTCAAAAAGGCAAATAGGATGCTAGGAATTATTAAGAAAGGGATAGAAAATAAGACCCAAAATATCTTACTGCCCCTGTATGAAACTATGCTATGCCCAAGTCTTGAATACTGTGTACAGATGTGGTCTTCTCACCTCAAAAAAGATATTTTGGCCTTGAAAAGGGTTCAGAAAAGGGCAATTAAAATGATTAGGGGTTTGGAACGGGTCCCATATGAAGAGAGGTTAAAGCGATTGGGACTTTTCAGTTTGGAAAAGAGGAGACTGAGGGGGGATATGATGGAGAGGGTGGATAAATTAAAGTTATTTATTAGTTCCCATAATAGAAGAACTAGAGGAGACCAAATTAAATTAATGGGTAGCAGGCTTAAAATTAATAAAAGAAAGTTCTTCACACAGCGTGTAGTCAACCTGTGGAACTCGATGCCAGAGGGCTAGATCGACCTTTGGTCTGATCCAGTACGGCTGTTCTTATGTTCTTAACTTGGGAAAATACTACAAACAGAGTTCATAGCCCAAACCACGAGCTGAGGCCCCTCCCCCCGCCAAGAATCACCTGAAGTCCCAAAGTCCAAAACCCCAAAAGTCTCTGTCCCTGGTCAGTGTTGCCCAGAGTCCAAAAGTTCACCTGCCGGGTTTTACCTCCCAACCTGGGTGGAAAGGGGGGTGGGAATTGATAGGGACACCTTACGTGCCTGCCGTCGCTGGGCACCACGCCACACCGCGCTGCTGGTCGCCGCTCCTACCGGCCATGTTACGTCACCAACCAGTGATTCCCACCAGCCACTCTGCTGGTCGCCACCACTTCACTGGCTGCAACGGGTCTGGGTCCCAGACATACCAGTGATTTCAGCTCTTAGTGATTTCACCACCTAGACTGGCAAAATATTCCAGCTTCCACTGGACTAGCAAAAAGGCTCCTCATAGAATCTGCTTTAGGTCTGTCCTTAAAACAAAGGGGGAAAAGGGGCAGGTTGGGCCAATCTTACAGCTCACACCTGGCAGGTGTGAAGCAGGCTGACTCAAGCCCTTTAGCCCTTCCCCCTAGCTCAGTCCATTCAACTCTGGAACGGGGGAGGCTTGTTCCTCGGAGACCTTTTACGATGATGGTGTCTCTCCTGCAAGCACTGGTGTCATGTTTTACAGTTCCCACATTTAGGGGGTAGCATGATTTGTGACCCCTAATTATTTACAGTACACCACATTCCATTCCAACATTGATCTTCCATTAGCCCTGGCTGAATTGGATTTACATAGCCACACTTCGGATTCCTTCCCCATCCTGGCATGAGCTGTATTTACATATCAACAGTTAACAGTTAATTATCTTGCAGAGCTAAACAATTGGAGTGAGCATACCCACGCCCAGGGCAGCTCTCTCCTTTTAGCTGGCTGATGATAAGCAGTAGTTCAGCCCCTGCTTACATGTATATGAGTTCCAATATGAGAAGACTCAAGATCATAGCTTGGCAGAATATGTGTAGAAAACAAATATGGAGAAAAGGATTTAGCATTTTGTGGGATAACAAATTGAAAGCAAGGGCACAAAATATTACACCAATTTCAATGGGTCAATCAGTTGTACAATGTTAGAAGAGAAATAGGGTTGCCAACTGTCTAGTCATACAAACTCAAACTAAGGATGTTAAGTAACTGTTAATAGACTAGTCGTGTAGTCAATGGAACTTCCATTGACTAGTCGATAGGCACTTCCGTGTTACTCCTTTGAAATGCTTATCAGATAGTTGACTAGTCCTTAACATCCCTAACTCAAACACCCTTGTCCTACCCCCAGTCCACCCCTTCTCCAAGGCTACGTTCCTGCTTTGACCCTTCTACAAGGCTCTGCCCCCCTCACTCCATCCTCCTACCCTCACTCACTGGATTGGGGCAAGAGGTTGGAGAGTGGGCTGAGGGATTTGGAATGGGCAGGGCCCTGGGTGAGCCTGGAGCAGTGGGTTTGGATGCAGGAGGAAATTTAGGTGCAGGAGGGGTCTCGGGGCTGTGGCAGGAGGTTGGGGTGCAGGAGTAGTGTGGGCTCCAGCCAGGCAACACATACCTTGAGTAGTTCCTGGAAGTGACCACCATGTCCCTCTGCTAGGCCTAGGGTAACCATGTGTCACTGTATGGTGTTGCTGCCGGCAGACACTGCTCCCACAGTTCCCACAGGCCATGGTTCCCGGTCAGTGGGAGCTGCAGAGTCAGAAATCAGGGCCGGGAATCATGCAGAGACCCCCTGGCTGTCCCTGCAATTAGTAGCTCCTGCCGGTCACTTCCAGGAGCCATGTGAATCCAGGACAGGTAGGGAGCATACCTTAGTCCCACTGCACTGCCAACTGGCTGCCTAGCAGTTTATTAAAATCTCCCAGAATACTTTCAATAGCAGCCGGGAGATTAAGGCCCATTCTGGGATATTCCTGGTCAATCCGGGAGAGTTGGCAACCCTAAAGAGAAATAAATTATAAAATTAAAGCAGTATGACCACTCCTTATGTGTGGGTGAGACTGCATGAGAAATATTAGAATACATTCTAATCTCATTGAAGTCAGTAGCAGTTTTGTCATTGACTTTGATGTAGTTAGAATTTCAGTCACTGTTCTTCAGATTCCTAAATGTGAAAATTGATATAAAAAATCAAAAGAGTTTAAATATTGGCAATCATAAAGATAATTTTGAGAATTTAATTTTATGCAAAAAGACAAATAATGTATAATGGGTTACATGAAGTAAGATTATGTGAAAAAATTATACAGGATACTGTTAAATTAAGGCAATTGAATTAGGGCATTTAATTCTAACCTTAGTTTGGATATTATAGAGACAATCAAACAGTGGCACGGGGAGCTGCTTATGGCCTCTTGATCCTTGTCCTTCCCCAGCATCCTGAATTCCCTTTCCTTGAGGGCCAGCTAAGGTGTAGCTGGCATGGGATGCAGCTGTGTTGCCTTTACCAGCTTTACAGCGGCAGAAACTCCCTGTGCATGAGGTGGAATGGGGTATGGGGAATTGTCTGCTGGAATTTACAACTGTTTATGGTCATTTTTGCACTGTGTAAGAAAAGCAAAGAGGCCTTACTGGACCGGAAAATCCAACTCTGAGTGCCTGATCTTTACAAGTGCTGAGCACCTACTTCTCCCATTGACTTTCATTTGGAGTTGTAGGTGCTTGGTACTTCTGAAAATCAGGCACAAAAAAGATGTGTTCAAGGCACATAATTTTGAAAATACATAGAAAGAATGGCATAGTCCTGAGATCAGTCTTTGTGATGTGGCTGGACAGAAGGTCCATTCCAGTTCTGTTATGCATGATTGGAGTGCAGTGGAAATCATTTCCTGTTCTGTTGTGGATGATAACTGCCTTTTGTCAGTTTAAAGTCAGGAGCACCTAATTATTATAATATAATATGGATAATTGCTATTAGTTAAAAATAAATCATAGTAAAGATTTGACTGTTCATCATAATGTACATTCTCGAAGAATCTACCCCATGTTTCTTTGTGTACATGTTTTTGCTTTCGTTTTTTATATCAAACATTCCAAAAATAATTTTACAAAAATGTTTTTATCTCAAACAGCAAACCACAGATCAGACACAAAAAGAATCTTTGTCTCCATCCCCCAACACCGTATCACCTGTGCCTTTAAATAATCCAACGAGTGCCCCAAGATTTGGAACAATTATTCCTAATCGCATCTTTGTAGGAGGAATCGATTTTAAGGTATTTTTTAATCTTGGTAGATAAGTAATAGAACAAATGTTTTAATAATTTTTCTTTCTTAATCTTACTTTCTATATTCAGTAGCTTTATGCATGTTAGGCATAAGCATATAGAAAATATCTTACCGTGTTGTTTGATTACACTGATGATTGAGATGATAGTGGTCTTTGCAGTAATATCCTGATAAGAGGTGTAAACTAAGCCTTAAAATTCTGTTCTATCTGATTTTGTCATTGAAAGATGACTATTTTTAGTTGCATATTGAACTGCTACAAGCATTCTTTTAAAAAAATCTTAAAGTTATTTGCAATACAGATGTTTTGTAGATTAAGTCATTTTAGCTCATCTAGAACTATTTTTTAAAAAATCTTCTATACAAATATATAATCCAGTACTCCACATTAAGGGTGTGTCTAGATTACAGGGTTTTGTCGACAAAAGTAGACTTTTGTCGACAAAATTATACCTGCGTCTACACTACCACCGAGTTCTGTCGACATAATGTCGACAGAACTCAGCAGTTTTGTCGATGGTGGTAAACCTCATTCTACAAGGAATAACGCCTTTTGTTGACAGAGTTCTGTCAACAGAAGGTGTTATTGCAACTACACTGTCCTTTGCATCTACACTCTCACATTGACAAAGCGGCTTGTCTAGATGCTCTTTGTCGACAGAAGCTTTGTCAACAGTATCTGATGACAAAGCCTCTGTCGACAAAAGCCTGTAGTGTAGACGTACCCTAATAGTCTTTTAACCACAAAATCATCTTATTCCTTTTTCTGCACACAGTATAGTACAGTAAGTTACACACATCTCCTGGCTGGGGATACCTGTTGTGTGGGTGTAACAGGATTCTCGGGGTGTAGCCTGGGTCTGTAGGACTGCTTTGCCCCCCTAAATCTCCAGTTTGGACTGTCTTTCACAATACCTTGCTAACGACAAATAGCAAACCCTTACAGGAGCTGTTATTACTTAGCACAACCACATGTGGAGCCCCACGCTATACTGGATTGCATGAATGCACCCAGAGCCTCTCATCAAGATAAGCAGTGCAGATTTATTAATTGATTCACCATTTCATCAATGGAAAGTGGATATATATCAGCCTCTGCAAAACAGGAGTAAATTTAACAGACACATCATGCAAACTCACTGGTAAAGAGAAGCAGTTAAACCAATGTATTAACCTTAAAAAATAGACTTTTAAGTTGCTATAAGTGATAGGCAAAAAAATCAGAATTAGTTACCAAAAGAAGTAAAATAAAAGCACACAGTCTAAACTCTCAATCCTATTAGACTGGGCAATAACTAGATGAAGCAATTTTTCTCACCCCACTGGATGCTAAAGTCCTTAAAATACAGCTTTCTTTTGTCCTCTGTTGGAATCTTCTGTATTCTTCTCAGTATACTTACTGTTTGCAGCATAGGTTGGGGGGGGAGAAAGGTCCTGTATGTGGTTCCTGTGTTCTGTTTTATACTTTTAGTCCCATGAGCTTGGGGAACATAAACTCGGGCATGTCCTGTGGGCATTGCTGGATCCCTAAACAAGGTTCAACAATTCCCCTAGAGTGCCCTTATGCAGGTGAGGTATTGAATTGTAGTTCCTTTGCTGGACAAGAGTGGCGATTTCTGTTCAGTACCTATCTGGGTATTGGTTACTTTCCTTGTCATTGTTTCTGAAGAGCTAGTATCTGGGCCCCTCCCATACCCACAGCATATTTTAGTGACAGTCATACAATACATTCTCATAACTTCGTGGGCATTAGTATTATACAAATTTAGAAAATTACTTTCAGCAGATCATAACCTTTCCCCTCATACCTCATATGGTATGCTTTATATGCAATATCGCAGGTAATACTGATGAGGAATATGACAGTTACAAGATAGTTCCCCAAGGTATAGTATGTCACAGTGGGCAGCAGCAGAAGCCTTCTGAGACAGAGACTTCACAAGGGGCCAGGTGGCAGGACCAAGTTTACCTGTTTTGATGTTGAATTGTGTTTGTGTGAACAATGAACATAACCTTAGGAAAGGGGGCTCAAATGTTGACACTAAAGGAAACTTCATTTATGCACTGGTTTATGAAATGGCCCAGTGGCTTAAAATTGGAAAACTAAGGCAGAAGCATGGCCTGACATGATATTTGGGGAGACTTTGCTACACATGTCTTCCCACATATATGAGAACCATCATTTTCTTGGGACCAGAATATTGTGTAATCCTTTAAGCTGTTGGGGAATCTTTCCCTGAAAATTGGTTTGGCTGGTTAATACATCATCCAATAGATTTAGTAAAATGTATCCCCTTTCAAATCCAAGGAGGCAAACCCACTTTCTACACTGTTACACTTAACACCATAAGTTCTCACCAGATGTGATTTCAGAATTTAATTTAACCAGTTTATAATTATTATTGTATTTTCTTAAACATAACAGTTTAATAGCACAAATTAAATAGTGCCTTGAATTTCAAATGAGATGTGAGTAAACCATTACATTGATCTTTGTAGACAAATCTAAGGGGAAGATAGCTTTTGCTTAAAGACTGTTTTTTCAATGGATTAGAAAAATTTGTATACAGAATCATTACCCAAAGATATTAGTACAAGTCCCTCTTATCTAAAATAGGTTCCACAGCACCTCTGAGAATTTTTTTTTTTTACAGAAATTCATAAAGAAGCTATGTGGAGCTGTATTTAAACATTTACAAAGCTTTCTCTTTGACTTAGGGAATAGGTGTGATATTCAAGTCAAGAGAACAACTCTACATTCTTTGTTTTGTTAGTACTTTTAAGAGCTCCTTTGATGGACTTTTATTTTAATTTTCTGAAAGTGGGATTCAGCAGGCTTATTTTTCAAAGAAGAGAGGAAGACTACTTACCTTTAATGAATCCTTGCTTTACATTTTCTACGTGCTCACATCAACTCTTGTCTACTATTCTTCACTGTGTTTTTGAAGTTCTGAGGCAGCACAGTTTCTACTGTCTCTGTTTTTAGGGGGGAGGGCAGTTGAATTTGCGACACTAACAAAATAGCGCCTTTTTATAAAATACATCTTGAAGGTAAAATTATTCCAAAAATACTCGCCAAATGACTCGATGACATAACCATTATGCTAACTCATTAAAAACTCTCCTGCTCTGAAGAGGCTTATAAAAGGCATTATAAGGCTTGCAGAAACAGGAGAAGAATTTTACAGCATATACCATACATTTTAAAAGATGATTGGTGAATCAAAGAAAAATATTAGAACTTCTGATACACTTCCTTGAGGCTCTGAAAACTCTAGATCCATTCAGGAGTGGCTTGAGGCATCCAAAGATCAATGTGCACCAGCACACTTCCTTGATGCATGAGATCCAATACATGCCATATCACACAGGAACAGACATGCAAATGCCTGGTGTATTTACTTCAGTGTCTTTACTTCTGGATACATGAATATATGTCTCAAAGATGCATGTTTTTATCTGTAGAGAAAATGAACATATTATGCATGTGTGGTACACAGTGTTTCAGTAGTGGATTTTATTGTCAAAAGAGATCATTATAATTTATTTGACCTGTATAATATGGGCTAATAACTTACTGTATCTTAATGATTGTTTTTTAAACTTAGCAAATTCTTCATAAAAGTCTATGCACATATGCAAGTTTTAAATTATCTGTAGATAATAAGAACATAACATAAGAACATAAGAATGGCTATACTGGGTCAGACCAAAGGTCCATCTAGCCCAGTAGCCTGTCTGCCGACAGTGGCCAGCACCAGGTGCCCTGGAGGGGGTGAACCAAAGACAATGATCAAGCGATTTGTCTCGTGCCATCCCTCTCCAGCCTCTGACAAACAGAGGACAGGGACACCATTCCTACCCCCTAGCTAGTAGCCCTTTATGGACCTAACCTCCATGAATTTATCTAGCTTCTCTTTACACTCTGTTATAGTTCTAGCCTTCACAGTCTCCTTTGGCAAGGAGTTCCACAGATTGACTACGCTTATTGAAGAAGAACTTTCGCTTATTAGTTTTAAACCTGCTACCCATCAATTTCACTTGGTGTCCTCTAGTCCCTATATTATGGGAACTAATGAATAATTTTTCTTTATTCACCCTCTCCACACCACTTATGATTTTATATACTTCTATCATATCCCCCTCAGTTTCCTCTTTTCCAAACTGAAAAGTCCTAGTCGCCTTAGCCTCTCCTCATATGGGACCCGTTCCAAAGCCCTGATAATTTTAGTTCCCCTTTTCTAAACCCCTTCCGAATATCTTTTTTGAGGTGAGGAGATCACATCTGTACACAGTACTCAAGATGTGGGCGTGCTATAGTTTTATTCAGGGGCAGTAAGATATTCTGTGTCTTATTTTCTATCCCTTTCTTAATAATTCCTAACATTCTATTTGCCTCTTTGACCGCCACAGCACACTGTGTGGACATTTTCAGAGAACCATCCGCGATAACTCCAAGATATCTCTCCTGATTTGTCATAGCCAAATTAGCTCCCATCATATTATATGTATAGTTGGGATTATTTTTTCCAATGTGCACTACCTTACACTTATCCACATTAAACTTCATTTGCCACTTTGTTTCCCAGTCACTAGTTTTGTGAGATCTTTTTAGTTTTGTGAGATCTTTTTGAAGTTCTTCACAGTCTGCTTCTGTCCTGACCATCTCAAACAGTTTAGTATCATCTGCAAAGTTTACTACCTCACTGCTTGCCCCTTTCTCTAGATCATTCATGAATAAGTTGAATAGGATTGGTCCCAGGACTAACCCTTGGGGGACACCACTAGTCACCCGTCTCCATTCTAAAAATTTGCCATTTATTCCTACCCTTTGTTTCCTGTCTGCTAACCAGTTCTCAATCCATGAAAGGACCTTCCCTCTTATCCCATGACAATGTAATTTACACAAGAGCCTTTGGTGAGGGACTTTGTCAAAGGCTTTCTGAAAATCTAAGTATACTATATCTATTGGATCCCCTTTGTCCACATGTTTGTTAACCCCTTCAAATAACTCTAATAGATTAGTAGGACATAATTTCTCTTTATAGAAAACATGTTGACTTTTGCCCAACTAATTATGTTCTTCTACGTGCCTAACAATTTTATTCTTAACTATTGTTTCAATTAATTTGCCCGGTACCGACATTAGACATACCGGTCTGTAATTGCCGGGATCACCTCTAGAGCCCTTTTTAAATATTGGTGTCACGTTAGCTATCTTCCAGTCAATAGATACGGAAGCCGATTTAAGGGATAGATTACAAACTACAGTTAACATAAGATAATAATGCTTCATGCTATAAACACTACAATATAGAACTGAAAGACAAAGTGGAATTCAGATATAGTTGAGTTAAAAGAGAAGATTATTGAAGCAAAATTATAACGTAAATTCAGTAGATACCTAGATTTATTTCTGAAGATTAAAATCACGTAGGAGAAAAATTGAGATTACTATCTGTTCTCTTTCTTTTTCTCACTAATTCCCCCATCCTTGTCTCCCCAAAACAGTAACAGAAGCATTTACTTTGTCAGCTTTTCTCTATTTCTATTTTTTTTTTAAGTAAATAGTTGCTGCCAGGACTTATGAGTAGTAAGTTGTTAAATGTATCCAAACCCAATCTTGTTTTTATTTCTTATTTAATAACTAAACATACCCATTTGTATACTTTTTGTTCTTTGCTTTATTTTACTAGACTAATGAAAATGACCTAAGGAAATTTTTTGCCCAGTATGGGTGTGTGAAAGAAGTGAAGATAGTGAATGACAGAGCTGGAGTATCAAAGGGGTTAGTACAGTTGCAATATATTTACTGTAGATATTGAAAACATAATAGTAATTGGATAAGTGCAATAGATGTTTATTGTGATTTTCATAGCTTATAAGATTATTATTGGCATAGAATTATGCAAAACACTCAAGTTTCAGTTAATTTATCTTTCTTATAGTGTACTGGAATGGTGATGTTGATAAATATATGGTTAGCATCGCTGTTTTCCTCCTCTCTAAGCACTTTGACCTCACTTTAACCTGGAGTTTTATTGGCAAGAATGTCCATTATGTCACAATATGGGTGAGAACCTCATGCCCATTCTAGCCCCTTTACATCATATAGAAGGGTCCCGAATGGAATTAAAGGAGCTCTAAAACCTGAATCCAATGAGGAACAGATTCCTTTCACTCAGGAAACAAAGCTGTATTCTGAGGATCCATTTGGAGGCATTAGTGCAAGAGGCATACCAGGGGCAGGGCATATTGCTGGTAGGGCTACAGCATGTAGTACTGCAAACATTTGTGTTACATATAGGGGCATGCTGCCATGACTTAAGTAAGCCAACAAGGGTATCTGCTATGGCATGCATCTCAGAGCAACACAGAATCAAGAGGGTGTAATGGTGACTTAAAACCACCATCACATTCCCCTGAGCTCTGAGTTCTGTGCAGCACATCTAAGAGATGCAAGAGGACCCTTGTGATAGGGGGTATGGAATACCTGCATAAGAGTTAGATCCATTCTTATGTGTGAGATTGCAGTGATAAGGAAAGGGGATGAAAGAATCTGCAAGTTGTCTCACATCTGCAAATGTATGGTGCTGAAAAATGTGGCAATCTGAAACTCACTCTGAACACAGAAAGAAATAGCTTCTGCCCCTCTTAACTGCTTTTGTCTCTCAACATGACATCTCCAATCTCAGCACCTGCCACTGTTGCTTCCTCCATTTGTCTATCTCTCTGACAGTGCACCCCTTGATAACACACAGAATTCCTTCTCTGAACTGATCTCATAAGGCTTCTAACCTAGCTTCCAAATCCATGCTTCAGTTCTACTTTGGCCTTGATACCTAGAAGAAACTAGCTGAGGGTAGTTGAGGATAATTGATATATATTTATTTAAAAGTATGTATTTTGCTTAGCTACTTAAGATTTTTATGTTGACCGTTTTCTTAGGACAGGTGAACACTAAAGGGGAAGATTGAATCCAGATACACAACTCCAGCTACATTAATTACATAGCTGGAGTTAACCTACCTTGATTCAACTTTCCCACCATCTTCACAGAAGAAAGCTGATGGGAGCAAATGTTCCCCACGGCTTCCCTTACTCCTTACAGAAGCAGCAGTACTGGATGCTGACAGGGATGTTCTTTCAGTTTAGCAGGTTTTAACTAAAGGAACTTTGGTACTACAAAGGAGCTTTAGCAATGAATCCTTAAGTGAGATGTCAGTGTGAATGAAGCTGTAAACTTTGATAATGACTTTAAAATACCGGTATGAAAAAAAATGCCACAGTGAATAAATCTAGTTGCCATATACAGTTTTCTATCCATATATTTACATCTAATATGTATTAATGACACATATTTTAATATTAAATAGTTTCTGGAGGTTCACAGTTGCATGGCTTTTATATTTATTAGTCAAAATGTTTTGTGATTTTTTTTAATGATTTAGTTCATTATGAGTTTGTAACTCCCCTTACATACATGCTATGGTTTTTAAGTAGAGGCTTGGTTCCCTTTTATAAGTGTCTTTTTTTTTCTTCTTTAAAAAGTAATTTGATAGTTTTATGATCATTACAGATGCATTTCCTATAATTTAGGTTGCTCAGCATTTCCCATTGTAAACATCCCATTTTCAGTTGCTTATAACTTTGCCAAATTGCAACCATTTTGGCTGAAATTTTATATAATAGCTGTCTGCCTCAAGCTGAATTTACCTGGAAAATTTCTGAGTACTAGGCGGAAAAAAATACATTATTTTGCCCATTTAAAAAAATTCAGACCTTTTATTTGAAAACCTCTGGTGCCCACATGATTTGAAGCATGGACTCGAGATTTGGGAGGAGGGATGTCCTTTGTGTGAGAAATGTTCCTTTTGTCAGTCTCATGCAAACTGTCATAAATTTGGATAAATTACAAGCCTTTGAAAAATCACAGTTTACACAGACTCAGAGACTTTGATTTTAGGAGTAGAGACGTAAAAGAATAATCTATTAGTTGACTGCCCAATAAGCCTAGGCTTATCGGGTAATTGAGTCAACTACTCGCATCCTCCCCCCTTTCTGCCTCTATTGCCAAGGCAGCAAGGTGGGGGGGGGGAAAGTAGGGGCTGGTGCTGGGAGAAGCTGGCTTAAAAGCCATTTTCCCTCAACACCATCTCCATAGTGCCGCTTTCCCCTCCTCCACAAGCTGCTGCCTCTATTAGAGGCAGCAGTGTGGGGGAAGTCAGGGGAGGCTGCTCTGGTAGCAGCCTATGTCCGTGGGGGAGCCTACCGGGTAGTTGGGACCCCCTGTGGACAGGGGCTGCTGCACCCAGTGCGAGCCGGGTCTGAGCAAGCCTGGCTCAGTCCTGGCTCATGCCAGGTCCAGGAGCTACTCTCATTGAGGCTCTGCAATTTAAATGTAGTAGGAGCCAGACTGCCTGCACATCCGGCTCTTACTACATTTAAACACCAGAGTCACAGTGGGGGTAGCTCTTTCTGAGCACCTTCCCTTATCGACTAATCATATAGTCAATACAATTTTATTGTATACAATTACCCAGTTACCTGCCTCTTAACATCCTTATTTAGGAGTTACCTTCCTAAAAATTCCAATCACTCTGAATTTGGTGCAGCGCGGTGATGAGTAGGACTGCAAACTTCTATGCAGTTTGGCTTCAGGCTGCTATGGGGTATGCTGGATCCAGGCATCTAAACTCCGAGCAGGAAGACTGTCTTTGGTGTGTTCTTAATGATCCCCCTATTGGGCCCTATAGCACGGGGGAGGAATTTGCCTGATTTAGATGCAGAAGAAACACGAACCTGGGTGAGGTGTCTAGGGTGAGGGGAGGCAGAAAAAAGTGGGAGTTGAGTTAGGGAGAAGATTGTGGCTAGATGGGCAAGAAAACTGGGACTTGGAGTTGATGAGGCAAATGGTGGGCTTGGAGTCTGTTGGTTATTGGGGAGTGGGACAGTGTGATTGTATGGGGTAAGAGAAGAGGACTGGGAGTAGCTGGACAAGGAAACTGCAACTAGGAATAAATGTAGAAAAGGAAATGGGGTAGAGGAGACGTCTGACAAGGAGATGGGCACAGGGATAGAGCTGGGACTATACGAGAAAAAAGACTGTGATCAAGAGATAGGAAGGGATGGGAGGAACCAGAGAGGGAGACTATGACTAAGAATCAATGGTCTGAAAAGGCAGAGGCAGATTGGCTTAGGAGTCTGAAGTGGGGAAAAATGGACTGGTTGGTCAAAGAGACTGGGACTAGGTATGGAGAGGTGGAGACTGGGTGTTGGGGGAAAATTTGGACTGACTAAGTAAATAGACTGGGACTGAGTTTAGAAATCTGTGGAGATTGGTACTGGGTACAAAGGCTGGGAAAGGGGAAGTCTGGGACAGTTGGGAGAGAATGAGACAAAAGAAGGGGATGTGCAAAAAAGTCGGTGCCCACTACAATAAACTGTTCTCCAAAGCCTGGAATGGAACTCAAGATCACTGTGTCTCCCCATTATTTTGCTCTTCAAATACCTTTGAAACTGTCATGTTACATGTGAGTTTCATTCTCCTCTGATTCTGGTCCACACAGAGGATGACAACCTAGCACCACAGCTATCAGTTACATAGTTGTCTCAAGAATTAGAGGTCTGTGTGATAGATTCATAGATTTCTGTAGATTCCAAACCTGCTGGTGAACCACGTAGAAGTCAGTATTATAACATTTTTTCAGTTTGCCCTTTTTTTAAATCACATACAAATATTGCTTAAAAGAACATTAAGATTGCAAAGTCGAGCACTCAAAAGTTAGTACTCGCCTCTGAATATACATTATAATACATTATCATTACATCACACACATTGTTTTTTCCACAGGACCTCTGTCTCATTCATTGCAGAGGATGGACAGGCTGTGGGGATGTGGCAGCTAGAAGGCCCCTGCTTTATTTGTTTTAGGGATTGGAAATTCTGTAGTGAATGAAACAGTGGACTTCATCAAGAGAAAGGATAGTTAGATCAGTTACATTTTGCTCAGGAGAATGAGATTCTATCCCAGTCCATTTACAGAGCTCCTGTATGATGCTGGGCAAGTCACTTCAACCAGACTTTTGACAGGTGATCATAATTGTGTACTCCTCGTTGTCTAGGTGCCCCCACTTGATACTGGTATTGTTTAATTTTCAGAAGTGCTAGGCACTCTCAGCTGCTGCTGCTGTCAATAGGAACCTGTGTTTGAATGTACAACATGCTATATGATGCAAAGTGTGCTGAAAAATCAAGTGTCTCAAATTAGGCACCCAAAATCAGTGAATAATTTTTACTTTAAACTTTCTGTACTATAGTTCCCCATATCCAGAATAGGAATAATACCACTCTGCCACCCACAGGATGATGTTGTTATTACTTAATATTTATGAAGAATTAATATGCTTTTGCCATGCTATAGAAAAGCCTATGAGGATATTAATAACTATGCCTTCAGAGAAGGGTTGGATAGAGCACATGAAATTGGGCACCAAAATGTAGTGGATACTTTTGACCTTAATCTATCTGTGATTCAGATCCCCATTTGTAAAATGTAGGTAATAATGCCTCCTTCATCAGTGTTTGTAAAGTAGTCATATTATAGTGATGACAATCATAAAAAGCCAATGAGAATGTTAATCCTGTTTCAGGGCAGGGCTTGGGCCTGGACCAGGACCACATATTTAACAATGAGGATAAAAAGGAATTTTGAATAGCTGCTCACTAAGCACTGTTCGCTGAATGAGACAGTGGTCCTGTGAGAAAAATAGACTATGATAATGTAATTAAGGACTATTATAGTTCATACACATACAGAGCCGAATTAAGGTTGCACAGGCAAAATTATTTGTCATTTCATAACATCTGAGTGCTTTACTTTTAAATCTTAATGTTTTAACATAGTACTTTGTGTTACATAAGAATATATATTATGTTTTAGCTTATAAAATAGTGTGCTAAGAAAAATAATGTATGCAATTTTTATTTAGGTATGGTTTCATTACATTTGAAACTCAAGAAGATGCACAAAAAATTTTACAAGAGGTAAGGTGATATATTCATCATTATATTCACTCTTTACGTAAATTCATGAATTCGGCATTAGTACTTGCAGACATCCCTTACCAATGGATATTTGTTCCTCTGTGTGTGCTTCCTTGGATTTGAAAGTATTATAGAAGCACAGAATGTCTATGGGCCAGTTGGTTGGATGTATTGCTTTCCCTTTGTGCGTGCGTGCGTGCGTGCGCAAGAAGGATGAAGAAAAGCAGCAGTAGCACTGTGTTCCCTTCTAAACCCACAGAAAAGCTAAGAAGGCATAAAAGACTTAATTTTAAGTGAGTGTGGGTGTTTGGAGTCTGTGGAGCGGATTAGGGCAGGTGAAGCTGATGCTTCAGTGTCAGGTGCCATAATTTTGGTAGCGATAGCTTCTTCCATGTATATTACTTATTTGGATCCGAAGTTTGTTGTGAATCCAGTTCCTCCTGGTGCTTTGATTTAAGGGTGGATAAAAATCCAATGATTTCTTTAAAAAATAATAAAATGGATTTTCTTTATTTAAATCAGATTTTTTTGAGAAAATGCATTTTGAGGAAAAACCCTATCTAAATATTATTTTAATTAAAATACATTATAACTCAAAGATGTATCATAATAGAGATAATAAATTATAATTCTCTAGTATGAGACAATATATTCCTGTAATGTTTACGATTTTTTTAATGAGTTCCAGTAGTTCATGGATTAGGGACCCAATCTTATGGGGTTCCAGAGGCTTCTGTATAGATTGTTTAAGTTAATCTTTTTATCTACATAATGAAACTCAGTGCTCAGTCTGAAGATACCATCAGGGATGCTTAGTTTTGCAGTTCTCAAACTGTGGACATGTTTCTTCAAAGATAACATGCTTGATAACAGCAAACATAAATACATAATAAATATACATATAAATTATTTAAATAAATAATACACAGAGGTGAGAAATAACAGACCTCAACCCTATTGTCCTGCAAATGTGTGTACACCGAGTCAATCGCTGACCTCTCTCTAAAAGTGCAAAGTTTCAAAAAGTTCAATGAATAGAAGATTTTTGGGGGTGGAATAGATCTGGAAAAGGAGAAGAAATCTGAAGATAAATGTGAGAAGGATGAGACAGGCAGTAGAAACAAAAGTGAAACTATTTGAGCAGCATCTTCCAGAAGTCTTGAGGTCTTTCTGAGTATAGCCTTCATTGATTTGAGATCTATCATGCCATTTTCTCACTAGAAGGGAAAACCCATTCTGACAGCAGGCCATAAAAGAGACCCAATTTGGGAATATTTTAATGAAGTTCCTCTATCTGGGTAAGACAAGCATACCTGCAGAATGCTAACAGTACAGAAAGAAATGCAAGGTCTGGTTGCCCGAATGAAACAACGTGATGAGAAGTGATTCTTCTCAGGAGGAAGCTTTGATGAAAATGATGAAAGGAACGTGTCTGAATATGCGAGATCTTCAGGTTGGTAAACTTTTATTTCATACTTCTTTCTTAAGGACTGTCTGTCTTCCTTCTGGACTGTTTTTGAATTCTCATGTTTGAGCAAAAAATATAGTTGTTATCCTGTGGTACAGTTATTTGTATGCAATTGTGATAAAAGAATAAATAGCTGAATTAGGCTAATTTCACCTTTGAAGTGTAGTACCTAGCGAATGCAATGAGTAAATGAACAGTATGGTAGTAATAATGAAATAACTGCATTGACTTCTTTTGTTTAGGAGAATTCATCCTCAACATACAGGATACTGAAGACTATCTGCCTTCAAGATTACCATTATTTTCTATTTGCCAATGATAGTGTTTCAGTCACATCATGTATGTCACATGTAGGAAAAAGAAAAAAAATTCTCCATCATTCAGAAACAATCATAGATAAATTTGTAATCTGGTTACAAAATGAGGTAATTGATGACATAATTGCCCACTTTGTTTATGCAACTAACTCTCCTTTCTGTATGATTGAGAGGCCACACTTCATTAACATGGTTCAGTTATTAAGAGCAGGATACAGTCCACCCAATAGAGCGGATGTTTCACGCAAATTGCTAGATAAAGTGTTTGAAATTGAGCAATGTGCAAACAGTCTAGAGGGTAAAATTGATGGGTGGAGCAATGTCTACAATGATCCTGTTGTATGTGCTTGTGTGACAACAGAAGAAGGTAATGTCTTCCTTACAGAGATGACTGATGTGTTGGGAAATGCACACAGAGCAGAATATTTACAAGAAGTAGTAGTAAAAGCTGTAACAAACTATGAAAACAATTCAAATGTCTAGTATGCAGCTTGGTCACAAACGATGCTGCAAATGTATCCAAGATAAGAAGACATATAGGAGAGGCTGAAGAGAGTCTTAAGCTAATAACATACAGTTGCAGTGCTCATTTGATGCACCTTCTATCCAAAGACTTCATTGTTCCAGAAATAAAAGCTAATGTTGTTGAAATTGCAAAATACTTTAATAATAACCAATTTGCAGAAGCTGTTCTGAATAAAACTGGGGGGAACCAAGCTAACTCTCCCACAAGACATGCGATGAAACTCAGTAGGGTCTGAGCACTGTATCAAGAACTGGCCTAATCTGATGGCACTTTGTGAACAAAATCATGAAAAAATAGATGGCACTGTCACAGCCAAAGTTCTCAACATTGATCTTAAGAGAAATGTTGAACACATGCTGAGCGCTCTGAAGAGTATTTCTGTAACCTTGAACAAAATTGCAGGAAAATAGCTGTTTTACTGCTGATGCTGTTGAAATTTGGAAGGAACTGAGTGAGATCTTAAAAAGGGAAATATGCAATGACACAGTTAAATTACTAGCATTTCAAAAAATGATTGGGACAAGCACTATCTCCAGCTTGCAGATATTCTCAATACTCAGTACCAGGGTCAAACCTTAACTGCTGAAGAAGAGGAGTTATGACATTGGCATCCAGCATTCATCCCTCCATAATGCCAACTATAATAAATTTCAGAGCTAAAGGTGAACTATTCAAGAAATATATGTTTGCTGATGATGTTTTGAAGAAAGTCTCACCAATGAACTGGTGGAAGTTACTTAAGCATTTGGATTAAGAGACTGTTGAAGTGATAATTTCACTTTTAACTGCAGCAGCTTCTTCTGCAGATGTAGAAAGAATATTTTCTTCCTTTGGACTAATTAATTCCAAATTGAAAAATCATTTGGGACTTGAAAAAGCAGGAAAGCTTGTTTTATTTCCCAGAGTATGAACAAACAGGATAATGAAGATGAAGACGACATAGTTAGCTGCAGATGCCAATATTTGAAGTTTCTCATGTTGATTTGGTTGACATAGTCAATTTGATTTTTTTTTAATTTTTCATTTAACTATTTTTGTTTAAATCAATCTTAACAAAAGCAAAATGTGATTTCAAGAAACTTGAATGTTTAACTTAATTCAAAAATTAATGTGCTTGTTTTGTTAAAATATTATATGCTTGCTGTTGAAGAAAAATCCAGAATATATAAGATTGTTGTTTTATTTAAATAAAAAAAATATAAATGTCTGTCTGGTGATGTTCTCCTCCTAATACAGCATGGCAAGAAAATCCTCCAGATATTAATGATTAACCTGTTGAATTGGAGATAGTTCACCTTCCAATGACTTCATAAATTTCTGCTTCAATTACCTTTGGTGTATGAAATAACCAATCGTTCATTTTCTGATATATCTGTAAAACTAGTCAAAGTTATTAAAATCACTGTTTAAAAATGTATAGTGTGTACCTTCTAAAAATGAAACCTACATCTATCTCTGAGTTATGAAGATTATGTATTAAGGTTATAACAACCAACAAGAATGCTCTTTTGTGTAGAAAATCATGATTAAATCGAGTTTTCTTGACCTACTGATTTAAATCATAATTTAAATCCATTTTATTTAAATCACATCCACCCAGTTTTATTTCCTTAAGCAGAGAATCCATCCATCATAAGACATCTGTGAGGGAGACTATATTTTCAGGGCTGAGGCCAAGATCATGAGACCAATTGAAATTAGCCTGACTCTCTTCAAGAAGTTTTCTCAAGAAACTGAGATCTGTGAGGCCCACTTCCAGATACACTTAATCCTTGCTACTGTGCCTATGAGGTTTGTCCCATAATGGACCATTCTTGACTACCAGAATATTTGTTCTTGTATTTCTTCTAGGATGTAGGAAGTGATAATGGCTCCACAACCTTAACCTTTTGCAACCTGTTTTCTTTGCATATTGGGGCTAAGTTGGCTGGATCAGCCATAGGCTCAGTTGTGTTCATGAGTGTGGACAAGTTTCCCACAGTCCCATAAAGTTTGTTTATAGCCACTAGTCTTGGCTCTCGGTGTTGTGTGCTGTTATTTAGTTCTAATTTACCCTAGATGTCTTCTAAGGACCCAGTAAGTAGCTGAAGTGTTGGTAATGCTGCTAGACAATTGACTTCCTGTCATTCAGCAAATTCTCTGGTTCTTCTGAACCCTAGGGTGCTAAACAGCATGTGTCGGTGCATCCCAGCACTGCAGAGCGGATTCTTTCTAGAAGTGCATTGGGGCTGCGCATGCATGTCGCACGAGGCGCCTGGCGCCATCCAACACTTCTGCGCATGCGCAGCCACCCTCCCTTCAATTCCTTCATACCATCCCCAGCTCAAGATAGACCTCCGCATTGCTCTTTATTCCTCAGTAGTTCTCTGTAGATAGGTAGATTAGTTAACTCTAGGTTCTCTCCATAGTTGTCAGATTCTTCACAAAACAAAAAACCACCCCCATCATTTGTCCCAAGTTGATTCTCCTGCCATTTAAGATCACCCACCCAGAATGATGGGCTCACTGGGGTTCAAGTGTTTCACAGACTGCAGTGAGGCAATGCCAGCCTCAGATGGCCATGCAAAATGTGTCAACTGCCTTGGGGACTCCCATGTTCAAAGGGACTGCCCACACAGTGTTAAACTTAAGGTGCGAACGTGGATAAACAGAGACATCCCTTTTAAAAATGCCCATGATTGAGAGGGGC